GTAACAACAATATCTTCTGTTTTCGTATCAATTTTATTGAATATTATTCGAGCTTGATCAATGAGACCTGAATGAGAACAAGCATTCAAAACACAAATATGTGAAATTTTATCACGAATGTTCTCAGACATCTGATAATATAAATCAATAGCTTCATAACCCATTCCATTTCGTGCATATGCATTAACTAGAAATATAAATTAATAAATAACATTATTTAAAAAAAAATTGAAATCAAAATAATAATAATCATTGTATACTCATAGAATTATATGCTATAATATCAGGTTGAATAATGGATTGAAATATTTTTCTTGCTTGATTAATATCACTTGATTTACCCTATTGAAATAATTTTCAATAATTGATAATATAAATAAAAATGAAACATACCCACATATCAATCAAAGAATTATTCAAATAAGAATTCGATGATAAATGAGATATTTGATTAACAATATTTTCAGATATTGAACGTATACCTATTTGAGAACATGCTCCAATTAATGATATAGATATTGGTTCATTTATTGTCAAATTTTCTTTTTTCATTTGTTCAAAAAGTAATAAACATTTTTGTGGTTCTTCATTAATATTATAACCATTGATCATCACTCCATACGTATATAAAGTTCGTTTTTTCATTTTAGAGAATAATGATTCAGCAATACCTATTTCATTAAATTTCATAAACATATGAATTGCTGAATTTGTAAGAACAATATCATTGAGATATATAGTTGGCATTTGATTAAAATATTTCTTTCCTATTTGAATAGATTTTTCATTAGATAATGAAGCACATGCATTATAAAAAATTGAATATAGAACTTCATTAGGTTTTAAAGGAATTTTTTCGAAAACATCTAATACTTTATCAAATAAATTATTTATAAGATAACCTAAAAATATAATTTTATATTAAATTTAAATTTATTTTATTTTATTTATTTATTTATTTTTTGAATAACCTTGCATAATTGCTCCATATGTAACAAGAGTTTTATTTTGAATTTTTTTAAAAAGAAATTCAGCTTGATTTACATCACCAAATTTCATTAACATGTCAATAGCTGAATTAACTAATTTTTGATGATGAAGAAAAGAAGATGGTAATTGTTTTAGTATATTATTTCCAATTTGAATTGCATGACTATTACAAAGTTTAGCACATGCATTAAATAACATGATAATGATAACTTCATCGATTTCTATTGAGATTTTTTCAAATAATTCAATTACTTTTTCTGGCATATTATTCAAAATATAACCTATTCATTAATCAATTATTCTTAGAATAATTTTAAAATAAAGAAAACAATTTTATACTACCTTTGAACATTGCACCATACATATGGATTGTTTTATTCTTAATAGTTGAAAAAATTCGATTAGCTTCATCAACATCATGACATTGCACTAGAATAAAAACAAAAAAGGAAAAATTCAAATCATTCTACAAAGATTTATATTATTCAATATTTATTTTGAAAGCAAAATAAATATTAATTAACACTAACAATAATAATGATCATTTTGAATAAGATAAAAACAAATTATTTTTTTTTTCGAAAGTAATTTAAGAGATTCTTTTTTTTTATTTCTATAACAAGTTAATTGAAATATATACGTAGAAAATTTTTCTATTTTGTTTTTGAAATATTTTTTATTGAAAAATTCTCAATTGAATATAATCAAATTATAGTTGAAAATAATATTTTCTTTTTCTATTTTAAATATTATCCTTAGATCAAATTTCTCATTAAAAAAAAAGACAAAACTCAAAATATTGAAAATAATTATTTACTGTAGAAATGAATTAAAGATGTTTGAAGAAATGGATCTTTAAGTGATTTTAATGATAATTGTTCATGAATACGAACACCCCATTGATGATCATTCAATTGCGAACATGCTTTTAAAGCTAAAGTAAATGTTACATTAGTAGACATTTGTAATTGTCGATCAAAAAGATCGAGAGCTTGTTTATATTGTCGTGAATCAATCAATTTCTTCATTTTTATGTTCAATTCTATTGGTGATGATGATAAGAGAGAAAAATATTGACATTTTTTTATACCATATTTCCAAGAATATCGAATAAAATATCGAGAAAAAGAACTAAACATTATCTTTAAAAATAAATAAAATTTATCATAAATAGATAATGAAGAGAATCGATCAACAGATTAAACATCTTTAGATCATTATCCAAGTTGAATTATTAGAAAAACGGAAAACATTTTTATTTTTATTTCAGTACTTAATTAGTCTCGGGTTTACTTTTATATCTATAATTTCAATTGATATTAAGTTTTCTTTTTACTTTTTAAGATCAAGTAAAGGAAATAAATATCGTATGTTATTAACGCCAACTAATGACTGTGGATAGAAAAGGATGTCGCTCCACGATAAAAAAAGTACATATAATAATGATATGATAATTGTATCGACATGTTAAATGGAATTTTATTCGATGTTTGATTTTAAAAAAAGTCTTTTTTATATTTCTCTTAGAATGATCAACGAAGACAAATTTCTAAGAAAAATCAAGTAACGATTTATTCAATGCTATTGGGATTTCTTTTTTATTAAAAAATATTATTGATTAAATAATTATATTCATGTCAATCGATAAGATTTTTTACTAAAATGAATTTTCTTTTTAAAACTGAAATTTTAATGATGTAAAACAGATGAATAATTATCAACAAACTTGTTTCTATATAATTGAATTATATTTCATTTATTGAGCAGCATATGATTTCTTGCCATGGTGAAATATGTATATTGATGATCTTCAAAATCAATTCAATTACTTTTATATGAAAAAAATAAAAAATAAAAAGAAATTTTAATAGACATCTAAATCGATTTATAATAAGATTTAAATAAAACAAAACTAATTTTTGTTTTATTCGAAATGGTTTTTCTTTCAATATTTAAAAAAATAGAAAGACGTTATTGCTTTCAAAAATAACTACTGTAGTTATATCAACCGATTATTTTCTAACAAGTGAAATATAAAACTAAATAGAATTTAAAGAAATTAATAACTAACCGATCATATTTTGATCAAGATATATTGATGTAGAAATGAACCTTTGTTTTTAAATTAATTTGACAACTGACAAGGGTGGGTGTGGGTGTGGTTGTTAGTCTTTTCTCCAGCTACGCCCACACTCACACCCTAGGTAGAAATAATTGATCCGAAAATAATCTTTCAAGTGAATAACCTGAGCATTTTTGGCTGATTTTCAAGATAATTTCGAACTATTGGTTGTAAACGACCTAAAAATCGCTTGATGATATTTCTAATTGTTCAATAATTTTATTGCATTGGTCAATCTCTTTTATTTAATAAACAAGAAAAAAAGTTATTTGATTTAATTAAATACAACATATGATCTGTTCGAAGAAAAATTACATGTCCACGAATCATTTCTCTAAAAATACATCCAACTGACCAAATATCAACTAAAATAGATACATTTATTCATGTGTGAATTGCAGCTTTTTGGTAAGGTGCGGAAAATGCAATATTCGAGTGGATTTTTTTCTCTTTCGTTTACGTATGGTTTGATAGAGCTCGAAGAACGGATTATAAATATATACTTTTCCTTTCGATTTGGTCACTGTTTGACTGAAAATACTTCGAAAAAATCAAATGACTGAAAGATGACAATCCGCAACCATGCATTTGCTTGTTTGTATGAAATCTTAGCAGTTTTGATCGTATTAATCTTTTCAAAACTTCTAAAAGTATTATATTCGGATTTACCATGAAAAATTGAGTAGGAAAACATTATTGAATTGAATACGATGTTTAAAAAATATTTGAAAACTTTGTCCACTAAAAGCAACACACATATATGCCTTAGAGTCTATATTGATGAGCATCTTTATAAACATATCTATGTAGGTTGTAGTCCTTCAAGTATGTTCGTTATCAACGATAAAATATTGATCTAAATATTCAATGGATTTAATTGGAAAGCAATGAAGATAATATAGAAATTTTTTCAGTTCGATTGACTGATGCCGATCTGGACCAGAGTTGTCGATTGAGGGTGTGGGTGGGTGGGGTGTGGGTGTGGGTGGGTGTGGGCGGGGGGTGGGGGGGGGGTGGGTGGGTGTGGGTGTGGGAACATATAGAAAGGAGTAGTGTTTTACATGGATAAACGCGTCGTAGTGAACGTGTTTGGTTGATTTGTAGCTGTTTTTATCGATAAATGATGCGTTTGAACGCGTTTTCAAACGTGCGTTTAACCTCTAGTGAAAACATGTGAACATAAAAATAAACGCGTTGGAACGCAAACTTTTCCAAATTTTTTTTTCGTGAGGAGTTTCGAAAATTCTTTAAAAAAATTGATGGAAAACCTTTTTAATGCCATTTGGTCACTACCGACAGCATCACAGTTTGACATGAAAGATGATAATTCAAGCAATTATTTCTCTGATACATTGGCTTAAGTTCATTTTTTTGGAAATTAACGCAGATTCAGGTCAATTCGACACCTTTTTTCAAGAAGTGGTTCGAGTTCGGTTTAGCTCGTTCTCGGTCTATCTGAAGAACTATATCCATAGTTACATTAGTTCTGATCCAAATGAACGACATATATCTTATTTAGATAGCTTATCTCAATCACTTTTACAATAAAATTATTACACCACATTAATTGCTGTAAACTGTAGCTGTCACAATAAATTGGAAATCGGACTTTCAGGTTTAGTTTTCCATAATCATGGTAAATTTTTCATCATAAATGAAACGCTAACTCTCATTGTCAAAACAATGTATTTGAACTTTACTATAGTATGAAACATCAAGAAAATTTTTCAAGCTATCGTTAGATAATTTAAATAAGAATCCGGATGAATCATGCAGACGCAAAGAGAATACAATGTGGCTTTTTGCTTTTCAGTACTATTTAATGATTTCTACGAGTGAAAGTCAGTTTTTATTTATTAAACTGAAATGAGCAGAAATAATCAGAAGTCCTTAAAACTAAAGGAAATCATGAAACATCATTAGAAATCGAGAAAAACCATGATTTCATTTTCTGTTTTTCCTACTGATGATTTTCAGTGTTTATTAATGATTTCAATTGATTTGCAGCGAGTTTTAATTATTTGTGATAGTTTTCAGAAGTTTCTAACCATTGCCAGTAATTTTTCAATATTCTCAATCCATTACAATGCGTTTTAATGTTTTCGATAATTTCTAGTGATTTTTTTTACTAAACATTAATTTGTTCCTTTTTGGTTTAATAGCGTAAATTTTTTCCACCCATACATAGGGTCAATCATCAGCAGAATAACTTTTCCAATACCATATTTTAAGTATGTAAGAAGATCTCGGTTGAGTATTCTAATGAAGAATTGTCTCAGTACATAGGTACTTAACATGTACCTGCCTTGTTTCTATAGCATTCCATGAAAAATGTTTCAAGAACCTAATAGATTAAACATTTAGAAGCATTCTGTAGTCAATTGTAAAAAACTTGTTAAGTAGCCTAAAGTCTTTTTGACATACTAGTATTAGAATACCCTGAACTTAGTATATTCACTAGGAAAGTCGTATGATAAATCATTCATTAAAAAATATGTCATTCATTGATGTTATTCTACACTTACGAAATAATAAATAACCCTGAGTTATAAATTTACATATTTATGATGAATTTTCCATAAATTTGTGTTCTTTTTTATTCTGCTTTTGATAGCAGCATAAATAATACATCTTCGAATAACCATCTAGTAATGACAGAAACAAAATCACTAAATATAATGTCTAGCCTTGTTAATAATCTAATCTTAGTACTGAATTTTAATGAACAATCATTTCCATTTCTCAATCATCCAAATAGAAATAACTGTACATTTAAACTATCTTGCATTCTACAAAGGAATGATTTCAAAGTTTTGAATGTCGTTCGACTTGATCTCATGATTACGAATAGATTTAGATGAGATTAAGCCGAGTATAAAAGGACTTGGGTCCATAACTGACTGGTCAAAAGTTGCGCTTATTTTATTGAGTTTTAACTCAGGGCAACGTGTTTCCAACAAAAAAAAGTCAGATAAGAAGTTTTGCACAGAAATTTTACCTATAGATAGATCTGAAAGTTATTCGAAAGTTGTAAAAGTTTTAAACAAAATGAACCGGTCTTATTTCAGACGTGAAGTTACCAAACAAAATCAGTTGTTTACCATCAGTCATTGCATAAGGCAGTTTTATTTGTGTTTTGAATATTTTAAGAAATACTTGTTCATTTTCTTTAAAACTAACAGTGTTTTCTAATAACTTTTAACCTTGTCTATAAGCAAAATTCCAGATCAAAACTTCTCATATGAAAATTTTCAAAAAGATACTATTCTGAACTGTATAAAAAAAATCCTATAAAACATTCACGAATTATTCTTGGTAGGCCATGAGTTTGAATTCTTTTAGGCTTCTCACAAAGCTCAAGTCATTGTCATGACATTAATTTGAATAGTGTGCAATATTTAGGAATGTTCTTGCCTTAGTGAAAAAGATAGAAAGCAGCTTCGAGGTACTTATAAACTTGAACAGTTCGATATATTCCAAATTGATGAACATGCAGAGCAGCTAAATAATGTAACAACATATTATAAGGATGAACTATGCTCTTTCCCTGACATTTTTATCATATATGTATTTTCAAATGAGTTATACCATTTTTAATTCATTTTAATATAAAACTTTAAATAAATTAAGATTAAAATCTTACAAATAAATTAATCGACAAAGTGCATCAATGAATATAAATCAATATTCAAATCAAGTGAATGAATGTTAACTAGTGCCAAAAAAAAAGAATATCAATCAAAATTTTCGAAATCTAAAGCATGTTACTTCACAATCGGTATTCTATTCATGTGAGTCGATTTTCATCTGATTTCTACTCATGTAAAAAATGAAGTTCATTAATCTATTGCTATCGTGTTCTGATTCATGATATAAATTTACTTAATAGAATATGATTTCTTAGTTAAAGAAGAGAAAAAAATCTACGATTTTGTTCGTCATTCATAACATAAAATGTAAAACTTCTATAAAGTTGAAACCAGATATTTAATTGATGAAACATTAACCACACTAGAAACACAAAGGGAATAAAAACCAAGAAAGTTCATTAGATTTGATGAATTTATTCTAATTTAACTCGATAATAAATATTTTTCTCTTCTCGAGTGGTATTATAAATTCAAGTTTAAAGTAAATTTCTTGATAAATACATTTGTTTTTTGTTCATATTTTTCCTCTTCTACGAAAAATTAACAACAACTACTTTCCGCAGATAATTATTTGATTAGAATAGATCATATATCTTTTACTATGTTTGTACATTGTCGAAGTTTAATAATTAACAACTACTAAAAGAATATAAATCGTCAAAGAAAATGTATACAAAATTCAAACTATTGTTGATAAAAAAAAAGATTATTTGACAATGAAATTTACACAAGCAAAACGTAGATTTTCAAGAGCTCAGAAATTAATATATTCAAGAAGATTAATAAGAATAGTAAATAATCTTTTCGCGATCTTTAATTGCACTAATTAGTGTAAATTGAGCTACATCAAAACACTAGTTTTTTAAGCAACTAGAATATTCATTATAATCAACAATAGATTTACAAAATCATATTGATTCAATAGTTTGTCCAGCTGCTGCTTATTCTGATGAATTCAACGGAAATGTTATCGGAGCAGGTATTGACGGTCGTCGTCTTATATATCTATCCAAACGATCACGAGTCGATTTCCATGCATGTAAAAAGCTTACGTCAAGTGCAGCTATTATAATTGGATCAACTGCTATACTTAGATAATTTAATATTTGAGCGATTATTCCAACTGTACTACTTTTATAAACAAATGGAAATACAACTAGATGAGGTGACCATAAAATTAACCATAAAGAATAGAATACACAAGATTGTACAACTAATTGTCGATGATATTTTAATCGTGCATCAACAATTATTTGTGTTTGAATACCATGAGTATTATGAATATAATTAAGACTAAGTAAAAGAAAGATTAATGTCAAGATAACTGGTATAAAATAAGAAAATAGAAGAAATAAAAGTTGAATAGTCAATGTAACAGGTAGAAGATCACATACATCACCTGGTGGATTTTCAAGAACAGACCATCCACATATAATTATAATAATATGACTGAATAGAGGTATAATATAAATGAGAAAATGAACAATAATAATCAAACGACGATTTAATGAATAAACATTATGATTATAAGCTATTTGTAAATAACGACAGATATTTAATGCTAAAAGAATATAACTTTGTATTAAATTCAAATAATTATCAAAGATAGCTTCGCTATAACATATGATCATACGAAAAAGATAAGGTAGACATACTGGTAACCACCGATAAGCATAAAGTAAAAAGAATCGAATAAGTAATAGAAAATCAGTTATTAGATAAGCATAAAGCCATTGCATAGAATGTTGACGAACTGATGGATATGCAATAAACTGAATCCAGAAAAAAATATGATTCATTGTGGCAAAAATACATATATAATATATAGGTATGTTTATTTTTATAGCTTGTTGAGACCATCGAATAAGTTCACAATCTGTTTTATTGTTCATTTTCGTCGTAGAATTTTCAAATAGAGCCTATAACATGAATTATGTATTTATGTTTTAGTAAAGAAAATAAAGTAATAGTCAACATGACTAATACTAAAAAATAAAATATCACTAGTTACGGTAAAAAAAAGAAATCATTAGGAATGGTCATTGTTGTATGTTATTTAATGATATATACTTATTTCTGAAGGAAGATGAGAAAGTAAATAATATGAAATACTAATCACTAAGATAAACACATGTCTGTTGGCATATGTATCTGCTGTATTTTTTAAATGACAATTTTCTTAGAGTATATTTCGATTTGAAGCATTATCATATCATCCCATAAAATATGTTTATGAGAATATACATACATGCATATTAATCGATAATATAAGCAGAAGATTGATTCGAGTATGTATACTGGTGTAACACTAAATGACAGTTTTCTATGACAAAGGTTAAAGAGAAAGGAATAAATAGAAGGGATTCACTTTTTCATACAGTCTAATAGAGTCAGTTTTGCCGTTCTTCTGCGATTGCAAGCTGGCAAAAAGTATTGAATGAAAAGAAGAAAGAAAACGTTATGATTGTATTGTCGTCTTTTGCATCTGTTGTAAATGTCTTCAATCGTCTAGCTATATTTAGAGTGTTGTAGCAGATAAGCGCGAAAGAAAAAAAATCAAAAAGGAAAATATTCTAGCCACAATTAACAATAGTCAAAATGAACAATATCCGTTTTTATGACGCACGACATTGATAAAAATAAATTATATTGTTATAACATGAATCAATAATCAAAAGAGATTGATGTTTCTTTCCGGCTAAGTATTTCAATTATCTTATGTAAGATAAAAAAAAAGAAGAAATAGTTTCGTTTTTCTTCTCAACATTCAACATTATAAAATGCCGTTATTGAAATAAGAAAATGAATAAATGGTAAAAAAAAAGAGAAACTTTGGATTATAAATCTTTCTTCACATACCACTTGGTTAAGATTTACTGACAAGCAAAGAAAATTTTCATATACTTAGTTTTTTGTATTATATCTACTTTTCTCTTCTTTCTAGTAGAAGAAATTATACGTTAGAAATTTTATTAAAAAATATAGGAGAGAAAAAGATTACACTATGAAATTATTTCATAAGAATTCTCAAAAGATAATATGAACATAAAGTAGTTGGAAGTCTTATCAAATAGAAATATAAAATACCTTAAGGCTCTTTATTATCCAGACTAATGTCAAAAAGAACTTGTCATGTATATATATGACTTTTATAAAATGTGAAATATGTCATCGGAAGTAGCTGCCGTATGAAGATATGTTGAAGTGATTCTGCATCGTTAAAATATGATTATGAGTTATTTTCCTCTGTAGTATCTCATAAAATCCATTACTTATACACAAAAACTCACTTAGAAACTTCAATGTTGTTAAATTTAACTAATTAACAACAATATATCTTGTTTACATTAAAGCATTAGTATGAACTTTTCCTACAAGATTAATATCTAATAAAGTTATATTCTCATTACAACATTATATAAACACGAATTCTAAGATATTCATCAATTATATTTAACAATAAAACTAGTAATATTTTAAAATTTTACTTTTAAAATTACTGTTTGAGTACAGATAAAAACAATCTTGATCATTGAAAAGATCGCAATAGAAGAGATTTCATATTCAATCATTTAAATTAAATTTTTCATATAGTATTTTTCGAAATTTCAGTATAGTTTATATATCTATGATGCACGTAAAAAGCAGGAAATCATGATACATCCATTTACTAATACTTTGTAAAAGGTATGACTCTAGGTTAATGTTTTCTGTTTCCTTCTCGTTTATTCTTTCTTGTTCTATTTTGACATTACTATGTAAAGAAAATTGCTAGTGATTGTTCTTCGACAGAATTCGCATGCGACAATGTCAGAACAACAAAAAATAAGGAATAGCCTATCTGAGACTATAACAAAAAAATGAGTGATTATTATTTCCTTTATATTTAATGGATAGAAGCAAAAATCAATTATCACATTACAGACAACTATTAAATTATATTTTTAAATGAAACACTACTATCGATCAAAAAAGTAATATGTTCCTTAGAGAATTTTTGAATAAAATTTATTTTACTCAGTTTTATTCTTCTTTAAAATGAAGAACAAAACTTTAATAAAAAACCACAAGTTCGCTCCAACATAGTATACCAGTTCCTAACAGAGAACACAAATAACGTTAGAGATTTGCAAAATATTACTAGGGAAGTATTTTTAAACATGAAATATTTACACAAAAATAATTGTGTACCAGTATATTTGTTATACTCTAGGATGAAATGTTTCTTATAAATGACAATAAAGTAATGCGCGATTGACATCCGTATAGGGAGTTATGTAGTCTCAAATCAGATCTTATCGCTCTCACTAATAATAAACATAAGAAAGAGCTTATAAAGCCGAGACAATTATTCAAATGCATATGAAATTCGTAAAGACAAAATGTAAATCTGCATTGTAGACTAGCGGCTAGTACAACTATTTTGTTTCCGATTAATTTTCTTTTTTATTCCATTCTGCAATAAATTAATCTTTCTAATTTTGTTGTTGTATCTTACATTTTAGAGAAAACATCATTGAAAAGTTTATTCAGTCGTATGAACTTCCTCTGAAATAACAAAAAAAATTCTACAAATGAAGAAAAATAATTGAATATATTTTGCATCTAAAATTAGGACATAATAGGATATTGCTGATATAAGAATAATTAAAAAGAATTACGAAAGGGCTGATACATTCAGTAATCAATGATGTGGAATCAAAATATCGATGAGATAAGTTTGTGAATATCACATGTTTCGAACAGAGATAAAAGAAAAAGGTTTATGATAGAATAATTCGAATCGTTAAAGAATATCGCTCAAACTATTGTGCATGAAACACATTTTCAGTTTAATTTTTCCTTTGGATTGAGCATGAAATTTTTCGAACATTTTTCCGAATTTTTTATGAATAGGTGACTCCTGGGATAGTATAAGAAAGGATACATGATTTCTTAAGATAGACTAGAATCATATCGGTTGAACGAAAGAAACTTTGCTGACTGAAGCAGCTGATTTTTAGGTTTTTAGTTTAACTTTTAAATACATCGTAAATCATTAATAAAAAGGAAAAAGGAAAATAGAACTAATTTATCGGAGTGTTTCAAGTGAGATGTGTATTTCAGTTCTATGGAATTTTTCGGATACAACAACTGAAACACAATGATGAAAATGAACATTGACTACTAGTGTACATAATTGTATTAGTATTTCCTAAGTAAGTAATTTCCAGTTGTTTAAACAAAACTTTTTTTTTTGAAAAACAATATAGTCATGTTTCAAAAGTGCCAGAAAATTTCCAGGAAACGAAGTATGTATTCCAGTCCATATCTAGTTATCAAAGAGCTTTCCTTTTCTACAGTTTTTTGTATATTTCCTAAATGACCTTAAAATGACTGATGATAGAAGTTTATTAGTGATCAATCGAGTCCTTCTTTTCTTTTTCGAATTCTATATCTAGAGTTCATTTTTCTGTAACGCGATGATCTCGAGAACAACACATCGTTAGATGTTCGTCGAAACGTTATGAGAGATGTTGAAATCTCGGTATGTTGCAAAGTTTCAGTGTATCATTTCGTTTGCCTAAAGTCAAGCCTACAGATTATTTTCATTGTGTCGATATAATGAAGCAAGAATTAATGGTGATCTTAGCAATAAGATAGAAAAAGCACGGCTCTAGTACATGCTTTGTGCTTGAAACTACAGAAATCGCGTCTTTTCCCCCTTGTTTTAGCGATGATTAATTATCGTTAACATTAATGATAACCTCATTAATGGATAATTGCTAACATCGGTGTTTTTGCTAATGTATTTACTTGATATACGCATAAAAAGTTGTCTCGAAGTAAAAGTGTGAAGGTCGAAAACGTATCAGGTTTTTCCAATCTTTTTGAAGACATTATACTTGCTTCCAAATAACAATCCAAAAAGAGAAAATTTTTTTCTGGATTTAGAAGCTTCGAGATAATTAAAACGATGACAGCTACAAAACAGAGCCGTCACTCATTTTGCTTATATCTAAAACAGTTGTAAAAACAACTAATGATAGGTAATATCTTAGAAAGATAATCAAGCGATTAACCGATAGTATCCATGAGAAACATATTGATAATTGCTAATGGAATTTTCTTGATAATGTATATGGAAACGACTACTTTACAAATTCTTTCAGACTTTAACTAGCTGATTGATCGAAACATAAATTTCACAGTTTATTCCGATCAAAAACCAAGTCTGATTTCAGTAAAGCATTAATACTGTGAGGAGAAAAAGCGATTTATGATCAATCATAAAAACAACTTTTTATTTCTTTTGTGAGATATCAAGTTTTTTCAATAATCAACATTCCTAACTTCACACTAAATTTCGCTATCAAGTGACACTTGGATGCCATTTAGTTGTTTGCGTTTTTCATTTAAAATGATTTCTGGGATCTAGCTAATATGACATAGAGAAAAGCACTTAATGAAATGATTGTTTCATTATTTTTCGACAAAAAATTGTAATGCACTTGTTCAACTACAAATAAAAATCTCGTGATTTTCATCCTGTTTTTTTTTACGGTAAATCTGCTAGTTTCGAATACCTGGATTCTGTCAGTTTATTAATAATAGATTCAGATAATTGTCAAAGATAGCTTCACTATAACATATGATCATGCGAAAAAAGAAGAGGTAGACACACTGACAACCATCGATCAGAATAATGCCATTGTATAGAATGTTGATGAACTGATGAATATGCAATAATTTGAATCTAGAAAAGAAAATGACTAGTTATGATAAAAATACATGTATACAAGACAGGTTTAACTATTTTTGTAGGTTGTTGAGATCATTAAATAAGTTTACAATTTATTGTATTAGTCACTTTCCTCGCAGGATGTGCAGCTAGATCCTATGAGATGAGATA